GTGTGCATTTTTAATAACATTGACACTACTTTTACAATTGATTAAACTAGGGATGCTAACTATTACTCGATTGATTATTGTTGGTAACCCTTTAAAATCGATAGACCTTATCAATGACAGATTAAGCATGGGCATTTAATAAGTTATGCTTTGCGCTGTAAGACACGTCCCGATTTCACACATTACATAATTAAGTGTGTGCAGTTTACGTTACCCTATGGAGTCATGCACTTTCTTGACTTTGCATATTGGGGACACATAAAACCCTGCTATGCACAGATCTCGTTTATGTCAGCCTGGTGCTGTCGTAAATCCGCAGTTCAATTAATCGAAAAGTAGGTTACATGACGTGTAATTATGGGTAGCAGGTTAATAAGACCGAACTTTGGATGTGCAAACCTTATTAGTTTCTCTAAAATATTAAAGTGTTTATAGCTATATTATCAATTTATAGACTGCCAAATATGCATCATGGCCAGACATTTATAGTTTATATAAAAACAAGCTCTTACCTCATTTCACTGTGATCATTATGCGGATCATATTGCATATTTGGTTAATTCTTCAGTAGCCTTGCAAATAATGTATTTTATTCATGATTTGTTAATGGACTAAGCTAATAAATACTGTGATTCTCTGAATTGAAAATGCTTAAGTGGTTTCATAACATATCATTCAAAACTTTATCATGTTTATGATCTGCCCCTCATCCTTCAGTATTACAGATCGTTTTATCAGATGATTTGTCATAAGAGAGATCTTAACAAAAACATTTTCTTTATGGAGACCTATCTAAAAACAATCCACAATCAATAATTCATTTAGTATAAGTTTTAGTAACAATAGCTTAAACCGAAACATAACTTTGTACATGAAAGAGCAGGGTTCTGTTTTTCGATCACTCCAGTTAGCTGGATTTGGTTATTGACGATTTGACATGATCCAGGATCGTTTCGTTCTTCAAAACTGATCTGATAGTTGTTGTCATAGCAACAGTTCTGCTAGCTCAAACCTGGTCGGAAGCAGGTTTAATTCATATAAACAGGATTAGATCAGCTCAGTTCAAGCAAAGATAATACAGAAAGTATGTACCGAATTTTGATATTTTCTTACAGTAGTAGTTATATACACTTGGGAAAATACTATTTTTTTTAAACTATATAAAGTTATACTTATTAATAAAATAAATAAAGTTATATATTACAGTTTTTTACAATGGTTATGACACTTTTTTCAATACATATAACAAGTTTTCTAAACTCCTAATGCAGTTAGCACAACATCCGTCTTTTTTGGCTATACAATTAACACATTTCTTGTTGCTTTGACACAAGATGCATCCAGTTAACGACAATTTAAAATGTTTTAACTTTGTTTACACTCAAGCTCAACCACGACCAAAACAATGTAATATTACAGTGAAATTTACAAATTCTCTAACACAGTTTGTCAGAACAGATAACACCATGTTCTACACACAACTTATATGGGCTAAAATCAAAGTGGATTGTGAATTGAAACACAAATATAATCCCTGTATTTTTTCCATTGCCAATGAGAAACAGCTTATTGCTGTTATAAATATATACATATATACATACATACATATATATCACAGCTGATGCCCATCTAGAAACCACACTCATGTGTTGAGTTTTTCCCAAAAGCATGATCATATGTTCTAAAAGAAGACTCTTGAGGTTTTGAAAAGGAACAGTGAGCGCATCAAAGAACTCTGTCACCAATGTGTTCGGGTAAGGTTATGCAATACAGTCAATAATGTACTTTACACAGTGTGTTTTGCAGTAAACTACTCTATAAACCAGGAGTTCATTAGTACATACAGTAGATATATAGTACAGTACAGCATTTGCATACTCTGTGTCTAATTACTTTTAGAGAGTCATGAAGTTGGAGGCCAGTCAAGCACCACATGGAATTATCTATGTTGACAGAGCTGAGGATGTCGCCGTGGGAGAAACATAATAGGCCAAAGTGCCACAGTTACCGTGCCGGGCCATAGAAGATATCAAGTATAATGTGGATGAGAACATGTGGCAAAATGCAGAAGACCTGGCAGAATAAGAGATTACTTAGGTTTTTTTTTTTTTTTTTTTTTGTAATCGCGGTGCTTTTTCTTCTTGTATGTCTTGCAATGATGTCGTTTTGCAAATAAAGTCTGTTCTGTAGCAATTCTGTGTCTGTATTTTTTTAACATAAACTGTAAATATTATAAAGCATTGTTTTTCTTCATTTTTGTATTAAATTTTTGCAGTAAAAGAAAGAAAATGCCTGCATTTACCAAACCCAACAAAACAAAAATGTACAGAGGCTTCAAATATACAGTCAGAGCTGACACAAACTAATGCAGTTTCTGTAATTTTAGCTGAAGATAGTGTTTTTATTTTCAATTTGTTATGATTGTCTGACTGTTTCTGTTGGAAGAGAACATGTGTTAGTGTTTTGAACAATAATTTCATTTTGAAACGTGTTTGCAGTGTTTTGTTAGACACGGTGTATTGTGTTTGTTTATTATTGTATTTTGAAAAGTAGTTTAGAGGTTTAGTTTACAATGTGTGATTTTGAGCATGAAACTGTTTTGCCAATTGTGTTTTAGGTGTGTTGCTGCATTAAGAGTTTAGCAAACTTGTTAAATGCATTGAAAAAACTGTCATAGCCATTGTAAAAAACTGTAATAAAACTTATGCAATCTGCAGCCCCGAAATGAAAGTACAAAGACTGCCACCTGGTGGTGCAAAGAGAAAACTTATTGATATGGACTTTTTAGATCATTTAGTATAATTTGTGTATGATAATAAACATGCACAATATGTGACTTTTTAAAAGCGATAATACTTTTATGCAGTCATAAACAATTTTTTGATAGATATAACGGTGATTTGATGCTTCATAAATGTTGCAGACACCTTTACCAATATCAAAAAGCTTTTGTAAACATCCAGTTATTCTTTACACAGATTAAAAAAACGGCTACTATAATACTACTATAATAAGGAAAATCCGCACTAACTGTAAATATAAATAAACTGCTCTTGAAACATAAAAGGGCATAAAAGTTATTGCTTGTCATATTTAACAAACCGTTTCCAATGAATTTTATGTAATTTTGCTCACATGGATAATTGAATATTAATCAGATGATGTCATTACGCTGCTGTGCCATCAGCCAATCGTTGCATTGCTGATCATGATTACGAGGATCGATAGATCAGTCCTTCACAACACACGCAGCGATCTCTGATAAGTTTATCTAGACATTTTAATCCGATTCACGAACTTGTTTGAAGAACCAAATTAGCGAGAGATCAGTTATCAAGATTAAAAGATCCAGGATCTGCCAAATCATCTTAGATCATTTAAGAGAGCTACGAAGAACAGACCCCAGGTTCTCAGTAACCTTTAAGACAAGCTTGTCGCATCAAAAACGACTCTCACTTATGACGTCTGCTTTTCAGTCATTTCACGTTGTACGCGTTACCGTTGCATTTGTACACATGCTTTAAATTAATGCTTTTTGTTTCCCAAATTGATATAATAAAGAGAACGATTAAAAAAAAACGTTATTAACCGGTTAACTGTAAACGTTTCTGGGCGAAGCAGTGTTGCAGTAGGTAGTGCTGTCACCTCACCGTAAGAAGGTCGCTGGTTCGAGCCTCGGCTCAGTTGGCGTCTCTGTGTGGAGTTTGCATGTTCTCCCTGCATTCGCGTGGATTTTCTCCGGGTGCTCCGGTTTCCCTCACAGTCCAAAGACATGCAGTACAGTTAAATTGGGTTGGCTAAATTGTCCGTAGTGTGTGTGTGTGAATGTGTGTGTGGATGTTTCCCAGAGATGGGTTGCGGCTGGAAGGGCATCCGCTGCGTAAAAACTTGCTGGATGAGTTGGCGGTTCATTCCGCTGTGGCGACCCCAGATTAATAAAGGGACTAAGCCGACAAGAAAATGAATGAATGAATTAATGAATTAATGTAAAAGTTTCTGTTCAGAACGAATAAAGTTTTTAGTTTTTCGTTTCTGTACCTGCAAAATGTCATTCGTTTCCATTTTTCATTTCCATTCCTTGAACCGGTTCGGAGCCCTGCACCAAAGTTCATGTTTAAAAGAAAGTTTACCAGCGAACTCTGCTGGTTAGATTGCTTGTAATCATGACACAAATAGGATTATTATAGGCCTATCTCTATGTGATAATAATTGTTGCCTTTCATTTTTTTTTTTTACTATGTTTAACATTTATGTCTATAGGAAGGCTTTAAGTGTTACAAAATAAGAATTCATTCATATCTCTAAAACTGCTGTGTGCAATCTTAGATTGGTTCTTATATAACTGTCAATCCCTCAGTCACTGCCTCCCGCTGTTAGATGACAGGGCGCTAAATATCACTGCAAATGTAGGGCTGCAGGAGAGGGAATGAAAAGAATACAGGTTTTTTACAACTTAGACTTACATAGACATTAATGAGCTCCCAGTATATTTAAAATTTCATGTTAGTTAATTATTATTTTAATACTACAACCATTCAAAGAATGTAGTTTTATTGTATTAAAAATTGCTTATATTAAATATTTCTTCAGTATATAATATTACAAACTACTGATGCTCATTTTGGTTAATTTTCCCAACCAACCAAAGAATAAACTAAATAGAAATAATAAAATTAATTGGTCAGTCCTAAATATTTTTCACTTAAATTACAAATTTAGATTACAAACAAAAACACTGACTGAATCCTATTTAAGAACTGGCATAGGCTGTTTTTCCAATATATATATATATATATATATATATATATATATATATATATATATATATATATATATATATATATATATATTCTTTTGTTCACCAAATACTTTGCAGCTGCCTGTCACTCTGGGTGGTGATTCTACCTTGAGGTTGCTTGGGTAACGTTTATGGTGATATTCACATAGAGCAAATGAGTATGGAATAAAACGGCACTAAAAAATAACTAAATAGGCAAAACTTGAAACAACACGGTATAAAAACTATAATGAAAGTTACATTTTTAAAAATGGGAAATATCATTTTAAATTACAAACAAATTTGTTTAACATTTCATGACAATTCCATAACAATCCAGAAATTCCATGACTCATGGGAGTCATGTGTATAGCCTGCATCAACAAACAAGTGCATAACAAACATTAATGCAAGCATAACTCAAATGTTTTTCCACCATATTCTTACATTGGAGGGTCACTTTTCTTTGATGAAGCCTCATCATTATTGCATTTTTGTGGTATATGGGGATGGCTAGGGAAGTCCAGTCAAGTCATCTTTACAATGTAGATTATCAAAACAGTTTACATTGATGAAGAAAAAAGCCAAAATATATCAAATTATGGAAAATTCCAGCCTCTTAGGAATTGATAAGAACTGTGGTACAGGGCTCGTATTGTTATAGTTAAATTAAAACTGGGTAATCAAAATTTTCAGTAGTGTATGATTCGGTGTGTATGGATGCTTCCCAGTGATGGGCTGCTGCTGAAAGGGGAGGGCATGATACATATTAAAACGGTGATGTACAGAAAATAAACACCTATGAGCACAGTGACCTTGTGAGGGTCCAACTTGTCCTTTAAGGTTACAAAGGCAGATTTCCCATTGACCTTGCTAAGTTCTATTGTTTTTTAAAGTAATGCCTTGGGGAAAAACTCTTGAAATTCATCTTGGTACCAAGAGCATTATGAATCAAAGTAAACCAGATTTTAATAAAATGATTCACACAACATAAAAAGCAATTGCTATGCTAAAAAATTTTCTTAAATGGTCATGAATATAGAAAAAAGGCAGCTAAAATTAATAACGAAATTAGCAAATGTATAAATATTAATAATTTATAATATGTGATTATTTAAATATGAATATTTGGGTTTATCTTAGTTAAATGTAGCAGAATAAATATAACAATGATTTATCCAATGAGGAGATTCTTTAATTGTTTATTTATCTGAAAAGGAATGAATACTTGTAAAGTAAGGGAATAGTTTAAGAGGTTTTAGGTAATTTTTAAAAAGCTGGTAGAAAAAAGAAAATCTTTTATCATTAAAGTTATTGTGTTTTGTGAGGCAAAACAAAGAAATCCATGTGGTATAAAATAACTGAATGACCAACGAATAGCATAACCTACCATACATAAAACACAGATAAGCGAGGAAATATAAAATTTAGGTAATTAAGTTTACTGAAACAACATATCAAAACTCATTTCAGCACCGCAGCAGATTAACTGCTTTATCAAAATGATGGCTGAAGCACTATGTAGCGTCACATCGAACCTATGGATAGGGGTGATTTCAACTACAGCATTAGAGTTCTTTAAGCAGTGACCATGTTGTAAATCTCTTTAAACAAACACGCCTCTTTCAACTCATCAAACAGAAAGTTTACTTCAAAACCTGTTGTGTGTTTGGGGGTACTAGAGGAAGCTGGATAACTTGCCATGTGCTATAACCAAGAATTTAGCAAAGTGGACCATGTATTTTCTATATCTGTATTTAGAGAAATCTGCTAAAATGTAATTGTTCTGTTTGTAAATACTATAAAATATACTAGGATTTTTCTAATTAAAAAAAAAACTAAGAAAAGAACTCTCTCACATATAATTTTCATATTGTTCATATATGCCTGTTTTACCAACAACTGCAATAATATAACTGTACCTATATCAATATCAACTTATATTTAAACTTAAATACAGATGCAATCAAGATTTTGTAAACTCTTTGTACATTTTCTTTGTGTGTGTGTGTGTGTGTGTGTGTGTGTGTGTGTGTGTGTGTGTGTGTGTGTCAATCAAAATCTGGAAATTAAACTGCAAAAGAAATACATAAATGTATTGACCTGGCTTATTCTTTACTGGGTAAGTGTCTGTAGAATAATCTATTTTTGTCTCTCTTTCTTTGGGATAGATAGGGAGAATAATTGTTCACAAAAAAAGTTAAACTATTTATTTTTGTTTTCTCTTCCCATGATGGCTTTTTTAGTGTTTCTCTCCGGATGTAAAATGATTATGTAACACTTTGGGGCAAATATGGCCACTAGCACTCCAAAACTAGAAGCTAAGATAGCAAATATCTCCATAGCCACTGCATATTTCCCTGATGAGCTCATATATGCTGGAACAAATGCAACCCATACAGCACAGAAGATCAGCATACTAAAAGTGATAAACTTTGCTTCATTAAAATTATCTGGAAGATTTCTAGCCAGAAAGGCTAGTAGGAAGCTTATTGCTGCCAACAATCCTATATATCCCAGCAGCAAAGAAAACCCAGCCACTGAGCCAATGGCACATTCATAGACTATTTTAGAGCGGATAGACTGGTTATTTTTATAGGGTGTTGGAGAAGAGGTTGATAGCCAGACTGCACATATTACAATTTGGAGGGCTGTTAGGACCAGAACTGTGCATCTTTGTTGTGCTGTTCCAAACCATTTCATTGCTCCTGAGCCCTCAGGCCGAGAGGATTTGAACACAGCTATTACCACCATAGTCTTGACCAAAATGCTGGAGATGCACAGGACAAAGCTTATGCCAAACACAGCATGTCTTAACTGACACGTCCACAACTGGGGCTGACCAATGAACAGCAGCACACACAGGAAACACAGTTTGAGTGACAAAAGCAGCAGGAAGCTGAGCTCTGAATTGTTGGCACGTACTATAGGAGTGTTACGGTGAAAAGTAAAGATTATCATCACAAGAGCACAAAAACAGGTTCCCAGCAGGGAAGTAGTGGTCAGCGAGATGCCCAGAGGATCCTCATATGATAGAAAATCGATTTCTTTAGGAACACATCGATCCTTATTTAGATTGGACCAAAATTCATCTGGACAAACTGTGCATTTAATAGCATCTGTTGGTACAAAATTAATTCATGTTCTCTTAACCTTTTTTAATTCACTCTTTTATTTCTAAAATACAATTTTGTATACAATAATTTTCTCACCTGTTGTGTTAGAAATTTCACCATCTCCACATATCAAGCAGTCAAAACAGCAGACAGGAAAGCCCTTCCTCATGGCTCTACTGGTGCCTGGGAGACAGCTCTCACTGCACACAGACTGTGGGGGCTGAAAGTAACATCATGTGTTATTAGTCATGCCTGTCGTCTCTTTCTCATGACAAACTTGGATTTTCTATTTGTTTATTCTTATTTAAAAGCTTTGACTAGTATTTCAATTTAAGTTTACTTTTTGTGCCTCAAAGTTCCAGTAAATTTCATCATTATTCAGTGTGAGCACCATTCCTGTTGCCACCTCATTTACTACACCAATATTGTGAAGTTTAATTGATCCTTCAGAGCTCGGCTGCCAGTTCAACACATCATAGATGGCTAGAGCATCTCCATTATTGTCAAATGATACAGAATCCCCAAAGCTTGTGGTGAAATTCACTTTTTTTAGGTAGTGAACAAGCTGTACAGATTGTAGACAGGACAAATGTTATACATATATCTGATTTAAATGAGCATAAGGTACATATTATGTGTGTGCTAACTTTTCTTCACTATACCTGTGGGTCTTACCTGCCAGGGTTTTAGATCTGTTATGTCAGCACAGCTGTTCCCACTGAATGGTCCTCTCTTCTCTTTACACTGCATCAGGTCATGAAGTGCATGGGCCAGGGCATAAACTGCTTTATACACATTATAAGTTGCCCTCAATCCTGAAACATCAGTGTAAGGTGTGTTTGTAGTGCTCAGATCCTCCAGTCCTGTACACACCTTTTTCATTTGTTGACCAAATGTCTCTTTATCCCCAGTTTCAAAACTGCACCCGAACATGGTCTCCCAGAATATCCTCACTATATTATTTCTTTGGTCACTGTTGGGATGAAGACGTAACAGAAAACTATGAAGACCCTGGATTTCTCCACGCCTAATAGCAATGCCCAACGTTCCCTTCAGAAAGGGCTGGAAATATGGTGTGCGGAACACAGCTGCGGTGACCCAGGCTTCACTTGCTATCCACTGCCTGCTTGTTAAGTTCTGCAACACTACCTTGTTCATCAAAGGAATCAATAAGGATGAAGCAGAAAAAACAACCACTACTCTAGCTGTAGAGGCCTGAATTACTCCCATAATGTGATCAATAACTCTGGGGTTGTTATCTTGGGGCAGGATTTCAGAAAAAGCAACACAGTGTCCAAACAACTGCATTTCTTGATGGAAGGACTGAGCAGCGTAGATACCATAGTCATTATTACTGTAGATCAGACCAACCCAGGTCCAGCCAAAATGCCTCAAGGTCTGAACTATAGCCCGCACTTGGAAGGTATCACTTGGAATTGTTCTGAAGAAGGAGGGGTACTTTTTCTTGTCACTTAAACAAGAGCAAGTGGCATAGTAGCTTATCTAATTAGAAAATATATAGGGCAGAACAGATTAAGTGTTAGTCAGATGAGACAAAATAAGTATTTAGCTCTAAATCCACAGTTCAAAAAATAAAGATTTGGAAAAATTATATTATGTTATTATCAATCATAAAGTAGATATAGCCAAATACAAAAAAGCCAAATAAAATGCGATAAAAACAAATAAAAAAAGGCTGCAGAATAGACCCTCCTCCCCCAAAAAAATCCCACAAGAATCTTTTTTAAGGCCCATACCATAGGCATTCGAAACAGCCCCAGAACACTGGAAATTGCAATAGAATGTGTAGATCCTGGATCACCTATGAGTCCAATAACTGGTGGTGGGCCTTTACAGTTGAAGTCAGAGATGGTCTCCTCTGTCCCACTTATCAGAGCTGTAGCTGCCTGAAATGCCACTCTAAGCCTTAAACAAGTGTCATAGATCTGGTAACCAAGTGTGATGTTTGGCAGCAAGTTGGGATTGTGATTAATCTCACTGATGGCAAAAACCATTGTCAGTGCTTGCTGGAAGCTTGTCATATAGAAGCTGGAGAAGACCATATTTAATTCATTATCATTAACCACAAAAATACAATTAACATTAAAAGTACCAATTATATGTAAATAATCATATTAGTACTTTAACACACAACAACATTAGAAAATATTACAATCTATTTGTAGCTGAAAAAATAGCAATAATAATTCTTATTTCCCAATTAATCATTATTTAGTAGCTGTGGTCCAGACTCACAGTTCACAGTTTGGTAGTTTTGGCTGCGTTCTGAAGCTTATCTCAGGGTATACTTTTAGGTATGTCTGAACATCAAACAAACCACCAATGACAAAGTCTCCATCCTGGTGCATCCCATTTATTGTAAAGTGTCCCTGTTGCTGACAGGTACCTGTACTGGCTATCAAAGTTACACAGATATAGCAACAAGACAGAACCAAACAAAAAAGTAGTACTGCCCACATCCCTTTGTCTTTACCTGTGTGTGTCTCTCTTCACTCAGCTCACTGATTTATCAGTAAAGATTGTTTGGCACTATTTTTTGGAGAGAGAGTGAGAGAGAGAGAGAGAGAGAGAGAGAGAGAGAGAGAGAGAGCACGTGGTGCAATTGCCCTCTGGAAATAACAACATAACTTTTGGCACTTTGTATTTCACCTCCCAAACATAAAACATAGACTTTTACAATATTTTAACTATTATAAGATGGATACATTAAAGTAAGTGGCTGTTTAACTGGGTGAAGAATAGAGTAAATGTTTTAATAACACAAATTATGTGTATTTGACGTAAATAAAGCACATACTCCAATTGCTATCTTCAGTCAGTGCTAGCAAAAAATCTATGTTGTGCTAGCACTTTTCTATATTTAAATGTCTAATGAACCTAAAATTTATGTAATTTGTTTGAAAGCACCAATAAATTATAATTTATTTATCTTGCTCAGTGCGACCCATTGTGGGAAAGCACATTTTAATTTAGCAGCTGTTCAACATGATCCTCTGAACATTCAAATCATACGAGTGTAACTGTACACTCCAAGAGAACAACCCAGACTGATCACACCGGTGTGATCTTTAGAGTAGGGTGCATCATGATTCTTTTTCTTAATGATTCTGGATTGATTCTCAAGAGTTCAGAATTGATTCTGTTATCAAATTAGGTTAGGCAGTTTTGGGCCTGCATGGGCACAAGTTCCAAAGAGAAAAAATACGTCTTAGTTTTAAAATGGCATTTTCAACAATTTATTGTTATATATCTCCGGCCACTTTCTATTTATACCTGCTATCATATCAAATGTTTTAAATGAGCTTTGTACTATATAAAGTTACAAATGAATCTGTGTGAAAGTGCGTTACTACAATTCATTTAATTCAAGTTTATTTGTATGTGTTGTCCTTGAGGTCCTTGATGGTTGGGATGGGTGGCTCTTCCCAGGTATTGGATCACACCAATGTTAGTGCTATAAATGAAAACAGTGGTTATACAGTAGGTGAGAGTTCAAAGTGGCTATTACCGCCGCCGTTTGAAATGGCTGCCGCTCTGTTTTTAGTGTATGACTGCAGTTTGTGAATAAGCTGCCAGGGGGCGCCAAGGGACGGGATGCAAACGGACAGAAATAGCCTATACAGCAGCTTTAAATATGCTACTGTGCTTGTAAATGAGATTAAACAATAAGTCAAAGCATTATAATTCCTTCATTAATCATTTAGTGCAAAGAGGACTCTATTTGGAAAATAGAATTGAAGAAATAAAAGCAACTAAAATGAAAGCACAAACATTCAGTACAAATAAGTATGCCTAAATAAATAAATAAATAAAGCAGTCATATAGCCTAAATACAGAGAGATGTTCAATGTTTGCTATTTTGAGGACTAAGACAAGACATTTTCATTAATGTTTTTATTTACGTTTTTATTTACATTTTCATTGTTGAATATATTTTACTATCTCATTTTATGTCTCAATTATTGTACATAATAATAAAAGAACAATGAAAATAAATGAATAATGAAAATAGGCCTAAATTAATAATTTATTTAAAGACATTGTGGCGAAACACTGAGAAACGGTCAGGCGCATGGTTTAAAGAGCTTAAGTTGAATGCTGCTTCATCAAAAGCAAAAAAATAAATGGACCTACCTCAAGCAGATCACTAAAAGTATAATAAAAATAATTTTGCCGCAGGACATAGATTAAATCTCGCAAGTTTATTTTTAATAATTTAGTTTCAGTTCAGTTTTTTTGTTTCAAAATGTCAATGGTCTCCATTTTGTTTTGTTTTTTTACTTAATGGCTTAGTATGTTTTGTATTTTAATTTCAATTTCAGTCACCTTGCATATGCGTGTGAAATATAATGCGCGCATAACCTTGGAAAAAGAAGAAAAAGCTGTCAAAGCTAATTTATCAAAATTAGCTATATTTAAATACAGCATGTATGTTAATACAGGCAGAGTGTGAACAAACTCAAGGTAAATCTAAGATATGCGCTTGCCTTTTAATGCATTTAAAAAGATTTGCAGCCTTTTTATAGGCTACAGGCTACTATGGTGTGTAATAATGTTTTTTTTTTTTTTTTTTTTGTATGGTAAAGGACAATGCACAGTATGTTATTGATGTAAACTTAGGCTAAAACTTACCATTGATAAAGTGACCCACCTCAATCAGATCACTTAAAGTATAATAAAAATAATGTTGCCGCAGGACGTAAATTAAGTCCCGCAAGTTTATTTTTAAATATTTTAGTTTCAGTTTTGTTTAGTTTTTTTTTCTCAAAACGTCAATTTTCTTCTTTAAAATAAAATTGTTTTTTTTTTTATTGTTTTTTTTACTTGTAATGGCCCAGTATCTCAGTATATATTCATAATAAACTTCACAGCCACAAATATAAAAAACACAACTTGTATTAAAACTGGGCGAGTATAAGAAAGAATAGGATGCTTGTTATATAATTTAAAATTAGATTCCTCTTGTCCAATTTCTGCATGCACATTTATTCACTCGCTACTCTGCCAGGTACTTCGCCGCTGGAGAGCACCTTCAATAGGCCTAATAATCTAAACGTTTGTTTAAAGATGGACCACAAGATGTGCTCAAAAGAGTGGCTACATGTGGTAAAGAACGATGGCAAAGCTAAGTGTGATTATTGTAATAAACTAATAAGTTATAATGCAGAGTGTCCAACCAACATGGCTAAGCATCTGCCGTTGGCTCATTCTTCATGAATATAGAATTAAAAGAAATTAAAAGAAAGAATGGCGCATTAGGTTTATTGTGCATCCCGCGGGTGCAACCAACAAGAGTTGTGCATTTTAGTTTAACTTTTCGAGCGTTATGAGCAGTTCGGTGTTAGTTTTAATTAAAATATATCGAGCCGAAACTATTCCCAGAGATGGGTTGCAGCTGGAAGGGCATCCATTGCGTAAAAACTTGCTGGTTGGCGGTTCATTCCGCTGTGGCGACCCCGAATTAAAAAAGGGACTAAGCTAACAAGATAATGAATGAATGAGCCGAAACTAAACAGCACATTCTCTTCGCCTTCTCGTTTATAACCAGCGAGATGCGCTGCTAAGCAGGCAGGAGAGACTCCGTCATTCATAATCTTAGCTGATGTATCGGAGTCGAAAGAATATATTAAAGAGGAATGTTCTTTTAACAGTCCCGATATGTTTAATCTTTTTTTTCTTTTTTTCCTGTCATTCCTCTTCAGTAAATTATATTTTTTAAAGCTGCTTGATTCTTTTAAAACCGAAAGCAGAGCCCGTCAATTGGTGTTTTTCCCTATCATATACTCATTTATGAATGTTTTATTTTATGAGTAAAGTCTTTAATGTGCTCTTTAAAAACTTTGTTCTATTCAAAGCAGCACTAAGATGCGAATTTATCCTCAAAACGTGGCATGAGAGCGATGCATGTCAAGTGTCCCTAGATTGCCTTTTTTTTCTGCGCGTGCGCGATCTATTTCTGATCTTTTGCATAAAGGTTTTAATCAAACGACAGGTAATTTAATCACTTTCGATGTGCTAAAATATTTGTTAAACGAATGTTAATTTAAAAAAAGCATATGCTCATTTTAATACTGTAAAACAGACTAAAATGCATGGTCTAATCGGAAATAAAGGAAATTATATATTTCATTATTTAATGCATAAAACAGGCTAGTCTTTTGATAAATTTAGTTTAATTGTTTTGAAACTTTTAATTGCATTTTTATTACCTGTAAATAATAAAAGTTGCATCAGATTGATAAAAACGAATCTGAATACCTGCGTGAACAGGGCCACAGTTACTTTTTTTCACTGACAGGACTGGCAAACGCATCAGAAAAAAACTGCTGAATCTCTGCGAATATTTGGTTAACTTATAAAACAAATATCTGGTTTAGTGATGTTAGTAATGCATAGAAAAATGCAAAGCAGAATTCTCCTGAGCTCATTAACCCACTGATGACAGCCAGGGAATCGCTGGCCCACCACATTCTTACTAACATATTTTATTTATTAAAATATATGATTATATATTTTTATATATTATTATATATTATTAAAATATTAAAATAATAAAATAGCCTATTATTTTTTTTCGTGGCTAGAACTTGAATAAATTGATTAACAAGCGATGTGATTGGTAATCTTTAATATGTACTAGGTATACGCAAAATATTTTTTAAAATGTCAAGCAGTATTTGTCTATAGCTTTAATTAATTTAAAACATTAAAAATAACAATAATAAAATTTAAAAAATACAAAGATAAAAAGAGCATCATTTTGCTAATCATAATAGTCCTTTATATTTATATCCATGTGTTGTTTCCTGTTTGTTTTATTTCACTTGATGCATTCGTTATTTAATGTTTGAATACTGAAATAAATAACAGCCATCGTTTAAAGGTTGTTTCACCATCAAAATGTAGCCTATTGTATGTATCATTAACTTTTTATATAAAACTGTGCAGTGTAATTGGGACCTTAATACAGTTTAAAGCGAGGTTGTCTAGAAGGATGATGGGCATGGCATGTATTTTGTTTTGGCTTGCATTGGGCATATTTGAAAATAACTGTCGGGTGAAGGCTTTATGTAACGAAGTGGCTGACACAGAGGGATCCATTTGCAGTATTTTCATTAAACACATTTAATAAACAATAGCACACAGATGTTGTGCGTGCACAAACTCACATCAAATACAGTAGTATGTAGTCGTAGGGCTGGCGGCTGGTAAACACAGGATGAATATGCAGGCATGGGTCAGAGGCAGGCAGCTAGTATCAGAGTCGGTAAACAGGCTAGAGTTCAAAGGCAGACGGCTAGTATCAAAGTTGGTATTCAGGCTAGAGTTAGGGATGGCTGACGTGAAACTGATGTTTCGACACAGTGTCGAGATCCTGAAGCACAAGTGTTACGAAACACTGCACCGAAGCATGATCCGAAACACCTAGTCACGTGACTAAAGCGATTCAAAGTATCGATCAGCTTACAAAC